CCAACACTGATGAGAATCTCTTGGCCTATGTTGCTGCTTTGGCTATTGGTATAAAGGTAATATATTTTTAAATAGCCATATGTCTTGCTATTAACTTTTTGATAGCAGAAACAGAACTTTGCCCATCACCAGGCTGTTATTAACTTGCTGTTATTTCCACTTACTATAAAAAAAGACATTTTGGCATCAGTGCTACTGTAGATCCTTTTGACCTCCCTGCCGTGCCTTTCTCTTCTACTATTAGCATTATCAGTGGAGATAAGGAACTGAATCTATCCTGTTTATATCACAAAGCCCTTACATTTGACAGAGAGGACTTTGGCTTATCAAAATGCTTATTTTCACAAGCCAAGCTACTTTTTACTTTCAGATGTTTGAGCTTACAATACCCTTCAACTATAGCTAATAGTGAGGGTAGATCAGAGTTGTATGTAGAAACATCTAGAGTTCCACAAGTTTTCCACCCTAAAATTATCCAGTAATAAATAAAATAAATATTAATTGCCTATAAGCCACATGAAGACAACAGTAGCCTTCCTTGCTCTAAATTAACCATATGCCGGTGGCTTCCAGATGTTTTGTACTATAGGTCTCATCATCCCATTCACCATACTGGTTGATGACAATGGGAATTGTAGTCCAGTAAGTCTGGAGGGCACCAAGCTAAGGAAGGTCGGTCTAAGCTTTTGCTTTTGCATAATGCAACTTTCAGGTGAAAGAGTAGATAACAGTTATGTCTCCAATTTTATTTAGGTTCCATAAAGAAGCTGAAATCTTAACATTGTTACTGGAAACTGTGTGCAAAATTATGTGTTCCAGAATCTGGCCCTTATTCTTTCATGCATTTGATATGGCATCAAATTTCAGAGCACATGTGAAAACAGAATGGTAACCCAGGTTTATGTACATCATCATTTTATTATGAACATTGCAAGTTTAATAAGTGACCACCATTGCTGCTAATTTCTGTTGCATGAACATGAAAGAATGCTATACCAAAGAGTGTCCTAATGGAACAGTGTGTTATATATTGCATGATGCCATCCTTTCACATATTAACTCCAGTAAATCATATCGTTCAAATTCAGCACGTCCTGGGAAGTGGTATTCACAACTAAGAGCTTCAATATCTTATTAAACCAATGAACAGCAGAGTTGGCTTGACTTTCTTTCTTTCTTTTTTTTTTTTTGTCACCATCCTCCACAAAATGTGACAGTAGAAAGTGGTGAATTTCCAGCTTTGCTTTGTTTGCCAGTTTTACTTTATTCTCCTCAGATCTTGATGCATACAATGTCATTATATGATAAAGGGGAGATTTTAATTACTTCTCTACTATAGATCAATTTAGAGACATATTAGTTTCCAACAATCCATTTGGAGCGATTTACTGTAAGTTAACTTTCTTTTCCCAAATCATCTTCACAGATTTCTATTGTCTCTAGGATTCGGCTCTTTTCCTTTTGTTTCAGACTTACTGAAACCTAAAACATGATTACTGCAGAAGGGGGCATTTGACCTGCTCAGCTATTCCTTCAGTGCAGGAATTTCCAAGTGCTCAGAAAAAAGAAGACATCATTCTAGTTTTACTGTATTGAGAATTCACTTGTGCATTTCTCTTCTTGAGTTTAAAGTGGGGACAATTCAGTCATAACAGATATTTTATTCCTGTCAGCTTAAGCATCAATAAATGGTATGAGCTTATCCAAGCAAGAAAAAAACATCAGATGCATGAAATGCCTATTTTTTATGTGTAATAGTCTAATATGGTTACTCTGGGAATTACACTGAGAAATCAGAGATGTCAAAATGTTTTCTAGAAGTGTGCAAGAAAATCACAATGCTATATTGTTAGTCATTTGTTATCACTACATTATAATATGACTTTTTAGCAAATCTTTGTACCCATTTTAATTTGTGTCAAATGCCACATGTGCTTATATTTCAAAATTGTTAAAATTTCTCAGTATGCAAAATATCCAAGTGCTTTCTTAATATGGATGATCTCTGTCAGCAAAAATAAGCAAACAATTTACCAGATTTTCATCACAGATCAGTCAGTGTGGTTTATCTACCTTCTTTCACAGCAGCCAGCACTGCAAAATGGACCAAATCATTTAACACACCTGCCAGAAGAAAGCTGAGTCAGACTTAATCCTGCTAATGGGGGCCAGCCCTGTGCGTGTAACCAAATCATTTCCCCATAGATGGATTGACTAAATGTCTGGCACAGTTTTCCCCCCTCATAGATTTGGAATTAGTGAAGTAAAGCACACAGAGCCATGCACAACACTGCGTTTTGTGTTCTTTGAATTGTGCATTTTGTGTTTTTTGAATTGTGCAGTCATGATTAAAGGGAAGAATAAAATCGCCACAATGTGATTATGAAACTCACAAAATGGTAGATATTGCTGACTCTACATAAATTTCACTGTGACGTGACCCTGCAAGATATTCTAGCCAGAAATGTAGTTTTTTTGTTCTTAATAAAGGAAGGAAGTTCTGGCCAATCTGACATCGACTTGCATGTTCAGTGGTTAAGGTGAGGTAGTCCTTGTCTCTGTGACACAATTTTATGGTAGCCAGTGAAGAACTTGGTACAGAGGCAGTATAGTTGCGCTCAACAAATCCTCAATCATATGACAGAGGGTTGCAGAACAGAAAATATTGGAAAAGGGCACTGGAATACTAAAGGCTTTCCTGGGGACCCTTGGATTATTCAGAAATTTATCGGCACTGAATAAAAACAACAGGGATAACCAACAAAATTTCCTGAAAGGAAGCCTGTTGACCTCTTTTATGGATCTAGGAGAAGGAATAATTATCCTAGTGAAACATCCTATTTTTCTTAAGAGATCCTCTACACCCCGCCCCCCAAAACAGATGCTGTCACAAATAAGATTAGGGTTAGGGAGCTTCTGGGGAAACTGTTTAGCTGCTAGGGAAGTTGCTAAGTCCTTCTCCTCAAGCCCCCTTCCTTCATGGGGTATGGGGAGGCAAGAACTTAGGGATTTTTGCCTAAAGCCAAGGAAATTCAGAACTCAGTACAACTTAGGTGTATGTTTAACAACTGGTGATCTTAAACAATGGAAGATTTTAATGAAAAAATCTTCATTTAAAAATGCAACCAAATGTCCTAATACAGGAGAGTTAAATGGTCAAATAAAGCAAGGCACAAAGAACTCAAAATAAAAATCAGCAAGTCATGCTAATTTAGCTAGCCTGAATATTGAAATGTGAATATCCCTCAAGACTTCCCTTATTTAAGTGTTCTTCTGTTCAGAATCAAGACAGAAGGGTGAAGAGTGAGGACAAGCATGCATCTGAAGTAGAGAGCTTTCTCTAGTTGTGTAGAAACCTCATGTGATCTAGAACCCTCAAAATCATGTGCTTTAAAACCCTAAAACTTAGGAGTAATTTATGCTGGAAGGGAAGTTGTCCACAAAATCTTCCCACCACAGATGTTTACCTGCAACTTATGGATAATGACAAGAAATGGAGTTATCATGCCCATTCCTGGTCACATAATGATCCTAATCCTAAATGAAGCAGTTGATTCCTTGGAAACTAGCTGTTTTCAGCAGTCTAGAACTTTGACTTTCTCCTTTCTCAGTGCAAAAAGTGAGGCATAACTTCCTGTTAGTTCAAGGAACTATCCACCCAGTAGCTGTACACAATAGCATGAAGTGTCCTTGCAATTTCATTAGTGACAAATAAATGGGAAAATAATAGTAATATGAAGTTGACAATTAACATTTACAACCTTGGGCGTTTCAAGTGTATACAAGTTATCTTGAAAAATATTATCTTTTTTTTTTTCTTCCAAAGGGAGCTATGTTTCCCTGTCTTGAATCTATTTGAGGCATAGCATTGCACTGGATGGCACAGACATAAGTGCTGAAATTGCTACATTAAATTAAGACTAAAGTTGTAGTTAATTTCCAATCATCTTCAGCATATAAATATCTGTCCAAGCTGATAATTGTTCTTGTCATCCTTACATGCATCTGGTGACAATTCTTAATTAGTGGCCAATTTCCTGCCTGAAATGAAGCTGAAGAAGAAGAAAGGCATTCCTCTTAATAAGTATGAAGTTTGTATTACTGTCCTGTTTACATTGTCAATATGCATTTGCATTGGATTATTAATACTTTTGTGGCTGTCAAGCAAGACAAGTGAACAAGGTAAGGAGTTGGGATTGAACTTAAGACTTCAGCTCTCTCGTAAACCTTCAAACTCTGAAGTCAGCTGTTAATGTTACTTTAATTAGTTTTCATGTTTGATGCTAAGCTGAAGTGCTGCTCCTTTGAAAAAGAATCATTGTACAGGGGGAAAAAAGCAAAACAGAAGCCCCAGGAGTAGCCCTTGAAACACAATTTAAATGGTAAAGCATGTGCCCTTTGACTTAATGGAAGTGTGGAGCAAGGTGCCTTTAAAGCTGATATGAAAGTTGCTTTTGTACTTATGTCTTTGTTTGAATTCCTTTAATGTACAAGTTTGAGAATTGATTGTAGGAGCTACAGAGTACTCACTTAAATCAATGGAATATTTGATTTAATGGAATACAGTTGCATGGAATGAAAAGACAGAAAGAAAAACAACTTCCTTGGTGGAAGCATATTTAATACTCCACTTTGCAAAGTGTGGTGTGTCTTCATAGTTGTGGATTAAGGTGTCTTACATTTATCTGGAAAAGAGTTCATGCCTTTGACATCAGAACAGAATTTTGACCCAAAAAGGTTTTCCATTTGAAGAGCATGTTAAATTTGCCACAGCTTAGTTTCAAACACAAAACTAAACAGCGACAAGAGGTAGAGATCTTTTCATGGTGGGAGATATTTGCTTGGAGGCTAGCATCATATTATTGGTCATCATGCTTCTGCTAGTGGCCACCAAGAACATGCAACTGCTAGAGTTCTCCAGTAGCCTTCATTTAGAGCAGCAATTTATCAGGAGGACCAAATTCCATATATTAGAAATTCTTGAGGGTCGCATTCCAGGAATGAATGGAGGTGAAAGCACAGGTAGGGGAGCAATGTGGCAAAACTACCAACAAGCTTCAGTATAAATATCCTATTATTGCCAGTTTCACCTACGGGAGAACACTCAACAAAATATGAGAAACCACCAGATGGTCAACGGAAGGGATGGAGCCAAGAAAGGGGTGGTGTTGATGGGGTACCCCACAGTGCTGATGAGGAAACCAGATCTGGATTTGGCTCCTGGGCCTAGGTTCTGTATCCTTGATTTAGTAGGAAATACAAGTGACTTGTGCATTATTGAGGAAATTGTTTTTCAATTGATTTTTTTCAGAACTGAAGTCAATCTATTTTCAGGTTAGATTGGCTAATTTTATTCATTTGAATACTTTTTAGACTGCAGATGATTGAAACAAAACTTAATTTTAAGCCTATCCACCTAACACATCAAATGACTGTAAGAAGGTTTTTTTTTTTCCCTTCTTCACTCACCAAAGCAATACATGCGATCTGACAAAAAAGGTCAGATATGTATGTGCCAAATCAAAGCTGTCTCTTTTCAAAGCTACACATCAGAGAACAGTATCTGTTTCATGCCCAAAGGAAACAACAGTAATCCTTAGTTCTTACTCTGGAAGCATTCTGTTTCTTACTGTGATTTCTTGTATATGATAAAACTGACTGCCTAGTCATTATCCTTCTCTGGTCAGTGTCTCAGTGATGTGATCTAGTCCTTAGGCAGCAGTGCCATAATTAGTGATTTCCATGGCTGAGGCTCAGCTACCTCTGCCTTGTATGTTATATATTTCTTACTATTGGAAATTCCCTGCATTCTAACATGATAAATTGCTCTTGCATTGCTCAGCTGCCGATAGGAAAATGCTGGTTCAGCTACCCCAGAGGAAGCACTATGGCCAGATCAAGGCTGAGTAGTAAGAGTAGATCTGTTGTAAGGTCCAAGTAAGGATGACAGGGGGAGATTAAGAAGAAGCTTGATAATAGATTTCTATTTAAACATGGAAAATACATTGCTTATTCCTCTTTTATGCTGTGGATCTATACTCAAATGAGTAAACTGCTAAGAACAAGCCTAAACAGACAGAAACATGACAAAAATATCATTTTCAAATCCTTGTATATATCCTCTTTATAAGCCACCAGCAGTCGTACAGCCCAGGGAACCTTCACGATACTCTCAGGAGCATCTTTCAGCACTGCTTTGCAAGAGAAATCATCAACAGCCTTCAAAGCTCTTGCCTTTGATGTTCAGCAAATGGTGAGACTCAACTAAACATCAGTTTATCAAATTATCATTGACTGGTGTTCACCAGCTTCCCAATCTTTATTTAAATTTTAAATCTATTTTAAACATCATGGGTGTGCATGTGGAACCATGTGTGAACATGTGTGCATGGTAGAGCGTGTATAGTCTTAACATTTTAAAACTGACACATTTACCCATCACAGTAAGCCACCTGCAAAAGAACAATCACAGAGTGGTGTTGTTCTGTGGGACACCCAATAGATAAGTGGATTTACCATGATTTGCTCTCACTTTCCTTCACACCTTAGTCCTCCAGTCCAGTGCCTTTTGGGTAGAAGCCTTCTTCTGTTGTCATTCCTTCCCCCTACCTACTCTGATTGCAATCCCTTTTTGTTTGCTACCTTTCTGGTGCTTCAGAAGAATGCAAATAGGGTTGCATTTTCCTTTTATTGTAATTAAAACAATAAAATTGAACAAATGCCTTTACTGTTATTATTATAGTTATTATTTTTCAGTATTTTGCAAGGATACCAGTGTACACTTACCACTGTACAATACGCACAGTCTTGCTTTGTTAGTGCCCTTGTAAATTCCCTCTCTCAAAGGGTATAAAAATACAGTAGGTAGCATATAAAGAAATTAACAAAGTACTACCATGTGCAGGCAAATCACAACCACTTGCTAAGGACCAGAGGAAAAAATAACATGAAGTGGGAGGAAAACCAGGGGGATATAGTGGAAGTCGGTGCACCAACAAAGAAAGGGACAATATCTCCCATTTGGCAAGGTGATTCTATCCTTTTAACCATTGATCCAACACTTCTCACTGCCCTGTTTCAATTTGGTAATTCCAGAGTCTCCAAAAAGAAGATACATTCCTCCCACATCCCTCACCCCTATTTTCACAGTTCCCCTTTGCAATAGTTACTGATTTGGTCTTGGTGTGCTTTTGTTTCTATTATTTCCCTTTTCCCAGTTGCCAGAACAATTGACACAAATTTAAAAGTGGGGCAATTTATTTATTTATTTATTTATTTATTTATTAAAACATTTTTATGCCACCCCATTCGCCGAAGCCTCGGGGCGGCTCACATCAATAAATTAAAATAATTATAATATAAATTAAAATATAAATATAAAATTAAAATACAGCAACACAGTATAAAATAAGCCGCCCTGGCCAGATAAAACCAATAATGTTAACAGTTAAAATGCCGCTTGAATAAAAAGGTCTTCTCCTGGCGCCCAAAAACAAATAACGACGGCGCCAGGCGGACCTTCTGGGGAGCGCGTTCCATAACTTAGGTGCCACCGCAGAGAAAGCCCTCCTCCGAGTACCCACCCTCCTAATTTCTTTCATGGAGGGTTCCCGGAGAAGGGCCTCCCCCGCCGATCTCAAGGGGCAGCTGGGCATATATGGATGCAAGCGCTCCTTCAGGTAACCAGGACCCAAGCCATTTAGGGCTTTATAGGTCATCACCAACACCTTGAATTGGGCCCGGACTTCAATGGGGAGCCAGTGAAGCTGACGGAGAACTGGAGTCATGTGAACACAATGCCCAGTCCCCGTCAGCAGCCTGGCAGCTCTGTTTTGAACCAGTTGAAGTATCCGGACCGTCTTCAAGGGTAGCCCCACGTAGACCGCGTTACAGAAGTCGAGACGGGAAGTCACCAATGCATGTGTCACTGTCGCGAGGCAGTCATACTCCAGATAGGGGCGCAGCTGGTGGATCAGCCGAAGCTGGAGGAAAGCGCTCCTCGCCACTGCGGTCACCTGAGCTTCTAGTGAAAGCTCCGGGTCGAGGAGCACTCCCAAGCTGCGAACCTTGTCCCTAAGAGGGAGTGCAACCCCATTCAGAACAAGGTTCAGTTCACCCTCTCCAAAGCCAGAACCACCAACCAACAGGACCTCCGTCTTGTCTGGATTGAGCTTCAGTTTATTGGTCCTCATCCAGACCATTACCTTGGCCAGGCACCGGTTCAGTACAGCCACTGCCTCACCTGGATTGGTGGAAAATGAGAGGTAGAGCTGGGTGTCATCAGCGTACTGATGGTTCCGCAGCCCACACCTCCTGATGACCTCTCCCAGCGGTTTCATGTAGATGTTGAACAGCAATGGGGACAGAATGGACCCCTGCGGCACTCCATGACATAGCTGCCATGGCGCAGAGACATAGTCCCCCAGCTCCACCTTCTGGAACCGGCCATCGAGATAGGAGCGGAACCACTGCAAAGCAGTGCCTCCAACCCCCAATCCCGCAAGCCTGTCCAGAAGGATACCATGGTCGATAGTATCGAAAGCCGCTGAGAGGTCCAGGAGAACCAACAGGGACGCACTCCCCCTGTCTTTCTCCCTGCACAGGTCATCGTACAGGGCGACCAAGGCAGATTCAGTACCGTACCCGGGTCTGAAGCCGGACTGAAATGGGTCCAGATAATCAGTTTCATCCAAGAGTGCTTGGAGTTGTCCCGCCACCACTCACTCTAACACCTTGCCCAGAAACAGGATGTTGGCCACTGGTCTACAATTAGTGGCCATCTCTGGATCCAGTGACGCCTTCTTCAGGACCAGTCGGACTACCGCCTCCTTTAAAGGGGCAGGCACCCGACCCTCCCTCAGAGAGGCGTTAATCACTTCCAAAATCCAGGTCCCAATCCCGTGCTTGGAATTATTTATTAACCAAGACGGGCAAGGGTCCAATGAGCAAGTGGTGGGACGTACTCGTCCAAGCACCTTGTCCACATCATCGGGCCGCAATAACTGAAATTCATCCAATAATTCTGGACCAGACGGCGGCATTGGCGTCTCCCTTAAAGCCTCTGTATCAATAGTGGAATCCAGCTCGTGACGAATCTGAGCGATTTTCTCCCTGAAATGCCTGGCAAAGTCGTCACAGCGGGCCTTTGAGGGTGGAATCAGGTCTTCTTTCGGACCTGGACAAACCAGGCCATGCACCACTCGAAAAAGCTCCGCCGGACGGCATTGTGAGGAGGCAATGGAAGCGGAAAAATATCTCTTTTTCGCCGCCCTCACTGCCACAGCATAGGCCCGATAGTGGGCTCTCAAGTGTGTTCGGTCAGATTCATCACGTGATTTCCTCCACCTACGCTCTAGCCGTCTCCCAACCTGCTTCATCGCCCTCAATTCAGGGGTATACCAAGGGGAAGAGCGGGCTCTGCCCGGTGGGAGAGTGCGCTTAGGAGCGATCGTGTCTACAGCCCTGGTCATCTCCCCATTCCACAGTTCGACCAGAGCCTCGACAGGAGCACCCGTCTTGTCAGCCGGAAACTCCCCCAGGGCCTTCAGGAATCCTTCCGGATCCATCCGGCTCCGGGGGTGGACCCACACAATCGGGTCTGCACCCTTACAGAGGGAGAAGTCGCTCTCGAGCACAAACCTCACCAGGAAGTGATCTGACCATGACAGGGGAGTCAGACATAAATTCCTCACCCTCAGACCACCCTCTTCCTGTCCCGTCGAGAAAACCAGGTCCAGGGTGTGTCCACGTTCATGGGTCGGGCCGATGACATGTTGAGACAGCCCCATGGCTGCCATGGAGACCATGAAGTCCTGAGCCGCCCCGGTCAGATCAGTCTCGGCATGGAGATTGAAGTCCCCCAGGACCAACATCCTGGGGGTCCTCAACACCAGGTCCAAGACGATCTCCGTCAGCTCAGGCAGGGAGACTGTTGGGCAGAAGGGTGCACGGTACACCAACAGAATCCCCAATCTGTCTCGGTTGCCCAACACCAAGTAGAGGCACTCCAGCCCCGGCCTCGAGGGGACCGGATGTCCTGTGAGGGAGATGGAGGCTCGGTAAACCAAAGCGACCCCCCTCCCCTCCCCTCTGGGCACGAACAGTGCTGAACCAGATACCCGGGTGGGCATAGTTGGGAGAGGGCAACATTCCCCCCCTCTCCCGCCCAGGTCTCCGTTATGCAAGCCAGATCAGCCCCCTCATCCACAATCAAGTCATGGATGAGGGAAGATTTGTTATTGACCGACCTGGCGTTAAGCAACAGCACCGTCAGGCCCGAGGGGCGGCTGACAAAACTCCCTGGCACCCTCTGAGGTTGAGGGGGAATTGCCAGAAATGTGAAGGCTTAGCAGTAAAAATTTTTTTTTTCCCAGAATGTAAGTAACTGGGCCAAAAGGAAACGTGAATGCAGGGAGTGTGGAGGTATCCAAGATTTTTTTCTCAAGACTTATTGGAGATGATCCTGAGAAACCATGTTAAAATTGCTCTCTTGAGTTCAGATAACATGACAACACATTGTAGGCATGATCATTCCTAGAACCAGTCACAGGTTCCTAAAATTTAAACTACCCTGTCAGATGAAATGAAAACCCTTCATTGCTAGCTGACAATGCCATGGTGTGCAAACCCAGTCAAACCCATGCCATGGTGTGCAAATCCAGTCACTACAAACATCTCAGTGAGTACCCGTTGAACATAATAATGGATTTCCAGTATTCCAGATCACATTGAGGCCCCACATAGATACAGGAGAATCTTCAAAAAGGTGCCTTCCATGAATAGGGGCTGGTGTAGTCTTGTTCCTTACATGTCTAATGTAAGCAGATGCAGAACATCTGAATAGTAGTTGTATAGTGGTAGTAGTATACTACTATGTAACATCTGAACAGTAGCTGTATTCTGGTGTACAGTGATGTTCCAGTTTTCATAAGGTGAACCAGCTTCTTCCTCATGGGCCCAATACCTTTCTGGTGCTGTGTACTTGTGAGCTGGGTAAATGTAGTTCTGTAAATTACCTAGACACTGACAATCTCAAGAAAGTTTTTGTTATATTTACTCTGCCTCTAGTAATCTTTTTTCTCCATTTAGGTAGATGAGATCTTTCAAGCAAGTGAACTTCAAAATGCGTATAAGGATTGTAAGGTTTTGCAATTCAGGTGAGTTGTTGTCATTGTTAGTTTCAGTCTGTTTCAGTTATGTACAATTATGCATGAAGTACCACTGTTATCATAGGGGCTGAAGTATATGTAACTGTGACAATTGTATAACAGTGTTTTGTTTATTTATTTATTTATTTTTCCATTGGTGGGCTGCCACAACAGCTCATAGTTCAGCTTCCTGAGCATCATTAATCAATGCAACATTTTAAATTCAGTAATGTTAAAAACAATCCCAAAACATTAATAATACAAAACATGCCCAAATAAATTGAGACAGTTACATAAAATCATCAAGTAAATCATTTTAAATAAATTATATAAAATAAAACCTCATGGGCCCTGCAAAGGTGTCCCAAGGGATTTATCCTCCACCAGTGGTCCACCTCTGAGAGCACACTTGTCGCTCTACCCAGAGCTAAGAAAAATCTGCTAACAGAGGGAGGGATCAGAAGTCACTTTACAACCATGGAAAGCTCTCAAGTTTTTATGTCTCCCCAACATCCAATGCATATAGAGACAAAATGGGGGCAGATCCAGGTCCATAGCCATGGGAGAGATTTACTGCAGCTCTGGAGCTGCATCCATCATCTTCTTCCTATTGTTTCCAAGGAGTTGGAAACTACTGAAAAGGAGGCTGGGCAGAAAGGGGGAAAAACAGATATCTTCTCTTCCTTTCTTCTGCCCTGCCAGCATGAACCTGGCTGAGCTTTGGATAAGGCATTTTCTCTCCCTTTGGATCATTCTGCGCCCTCCAGAAGATTCCTCTGTACAGTTGCTGCCTGTAGCTTGCATAATAACCTGAAGATGAATCGAGTTTCCTGTAGATAGGTAAGCAGGTAGGAAGGGAGGCAATGAGCCATAAAGTATCTATATCTTCTGCTAGTTTATTGGATTTCCCCAGGCCTTTTGACATTCTGAATGCACTGTCATTTTAGCATTGATGCCGTTCTAATCAATTCTAAAATTGATCCATCAAGAAATAAGATGCCATAAAATAAGTTTCCTTTTTTGAAATTCAACAGCTGGTAGATGCATTTGATAATGTTAATGAAACATAGATTTGCCCTTCTGAGTATGAATAACACTCATGTCAAGTTGTACCAATATAGTATACATGAAGTAAAAGCAGAGCCTTTGGGCTTGCATTTGAAGAAATCAAACAAGCAGACGTACACAGATATGAGCATGGGCACCACACAGATGCATGCAGCATAAATGTTTTAAATTTCCCCAAAAATATCAGTTTAGGTCCACTGTATCTATAGTCCACTGTGATGCTGCATACGCTGCTGTATAGCATTACATTTAATAGACTGCAAAGTTGCAAACTATTGAATGAGGATGTAACTCCATGTGGTATTCATTATGTGATTAGCACTCATGTCATGTAGTTTGTTGGGTTTTTTAATTACATACCAGCCGTGGAGGTTGTGGTGATGGGGAGATTGTTCACAGGAGGGTGAATTTCATCAAGGTTACAGTGAGACAGGGTAGATTTACCTCTCTTCCCAACATGCTGCAATTTTAATAACAGGTTTTTTCCTTACACTGACAGGCACACAAACGCACAAACACACGAAATAGAGGCTGCTGGCTTCAATGTGAGAGAAGCAGTGCATCCAATCTAGATTTAATGTTAATGAGCTACCCTTGTTGCTATTCATTTTTGTAGGCTTTCAATGCCTATTCTAAGCTATCCAAAAATACTTTTCATTGCAGGGAACAATGCTTTGTTGCTGGGAAAACTTGGGTTTTCTTCAGCTACCACAAGGCTTTCTGCTAAGCTCAGGGATAGTTGGCATCAGCACCAAAAGCAGATGACATCAGCATTCCAGCTAATACTGTCCATGCATCATTCCTGTAAGCCCCAGCTCCCCCACAGCATTCTGCACAGAATTAGACACCAAGACAATGGGCCAGTTCACAAGGCAGTACAACCCCTCATGGGTTAATTCATTCTTGAGGACAGCAGTGCTTACCAGGTACCATTTATGAATTTGCAACTCCAAAAAAGAGTTATTGAAGATTGTCAGGATGACTCAACAAATCCAGTGTGATATGCCAGTATCTGAAGTCCAAATAAACTGCGTAACCCTACAACAGACTGTTGGTTGGGCTAATATTGTTGAGCCCTGAGATAACCTCTGCTTGCTGGATTAACAAACACAGCAGCCACTGCTTGGGAATTGCATATTTATGGTAGGGGCTGGTACAACATAACACCTTGAGAGTAAATTAACTCACCATAGGTTACCTTGTCATGCAAGCCAGGATTGCTCAAATAAGCACTGGGGAACTGACAGCAAAGCAGGATTTACTAATCTGCTCCAACTAGCCCATCATGTATGTTCAGCCTGTTGATCTTTTGTGTTCCCTGCTTTTCTGCAAGGATAGGATGCCTCCAGCATTGTTTGAATGCAGATGCATTTGTGTTTAGCTTCTTATTTCATCCTTGAAAGTCAGATGAGTCACAAAGATATCATTAAAAAGTTCTTATTTACTCTGCTTAGCCTGGAGGTTATCAACATCATTTAAGAAATTAAAAGGAAGAATCTTTCAATATATTGCAGCCTTTGCTTTGTGCCGTGATAGGATTAATCACCTCTTACTGAAGAGCACAGCTGTATCAGTGACAGTCTGCTGGCAGGAATTCTTTCAAATAAGAAAGGTCACTGCTGATTTTTAACCAAAGGAAAACTTCCTTCACTTCGGTAAGCATAATGATATGGTCACACATCATCCTCAATCTAGATATTGCTTCAAGTAGAGAAATCAATACTGAGAGTGACTGAAATTAAGGACACAAAGTAGAAATTATATTGGGCAAAGCATACATTGCTGAAAATCCCAAGACTCAGCCTAAAGACTGAGAATAGAAGCATCTTAAGTCATGCTAAGACATGATTGGGTTTCATCTTTTCAGATAGGTTGATTTCACCTCCATTTCACAGTATGCAGTGCTTCTCTACCATCTATAGTATAATGAGGGGAATCCTTTAAAGTTTGCAGGCATTTTTAAAAGTGATTTCTTTCTCCCCTTTGGCTGTATCCTTGTGTTGTGTGATTATGTTCTACCAAGTGTGAGCAACATGCAGGCCATATACCATTAAGTCCAGTACAGCCCCATACCTGCTTCATACCTGCCCCATTTTCCCTATTGTTTTTTTTTTTTTTTTTAAAGGAGAACATGTGTCAGCTTCTTGCCAAAAATCAGTGATACTGTGCTAGGTTTGGGATGAACCATTTAGCTTGTTTTCAAGCTTACGTGTTCATTCTAAGACAGTGTGGGAGTTACAGAGGCTTAAAATGTTCAATTCTAACGTATCCTGCTCATTCCTTCTTTTTTGCTAGTGTGTGAAGACTTCTAGATGGTCGAAGCAGTAGGGAATCCACCCCCCACCCCAAATTGGCCAAAGTGGCCCATCCCTGCATTATAAAGTCACTTTCACAAGCCATGGCAAGGTCAACATATTCAAATTCTGATTCCTTGTTTGACTCTTTGACTCTTCTGGAACTTTATGATTTTTTTAAAGTTGCCCTGAAGATCAGTCACATTTTTATATACATTTCCAATATTCACATTTCTGTACATATTTTCCCAGGGTGCACTTTTTGTAAGCATTTTGATATGTTATACTTTTGTATGTTGCTTTGCTCATATTTTTGAATAATACATGAATTGCATATTGGTTTGGACATGTGAAATTCAGTGAGTTTCCAAATGAATTTCTTTCCTATCCATTACAAACACACGTGCACACAGAGTGCACACAGAAACATCGTATTAGAGTAGTGCTCTGTGCTTTTAGGGAGTCACCACCATGGTGCTCTTTCTGGCATAAAGATTTGGAGTTTCAGTATGTGCATGTAGGGACTCCTCCTATTTTTCGGAACTGGGAAGTCAAAAACCCATTTCTGAAAGTTAAACTACATGTAATCCTTCTTGTATAGATAAGGACTAGCATGTTCTTTTTGCTCATCCTATGATGTATAACCTTGATTTAAATCAGGAGCTATGGCTTCCCAAATTCTTCTCCCCCACCTTGTAAGAAAATTAACAAAGACAAAAAAGGGGGGAATTCCTTTTGATACATGGTGGCATCTGTTTGTGACCTTATCACTCTACGTTTCTCCCTATCACTGATCTTCATGTCAGAGAAGGTTATATATGGCTACTGGTCCTGAAGACTGTATGCTGACTTCAAAATCAGAGACTGTACGCCCACGTGTACCAATTGCTGGCAAACTTCAGTGGGATGGTTCTGTTACATGCTTGTCATGCCTGGGGCAGCCGATTTTCTTCTGGAAGGCCTGAGCACTGCTGCTGCAGACAGTCACAAAATGCAAACATCTTCTTTAAGTTCTTTGTACACCCCTCCCAAAAGTAGTGTGACCATAACAACAAGGAAAGACCTGGTAAAGTCTTAATACCCAATCTGACAATGTGGATAGGTCATCACTGGAGATGGGCAGTGATATTTGATGCATAGCAATAGGTACATGAAATATATTGTATCCTTATAGGCCTAGACCTATAAATGGAACCATACATGGGTCCAGTTAAATAATACATTGATATTAGACTTATTAAAGTTTCAGAGATACATAAACTTATGCTCTCATAAACAACCGAGGAGATGTCCAAGCAATAAAATGAAAGCTTATGTGTGGTTCTGGCAGTAAAACATTTAATACAGTATATTTGAGTGGTTGCCAATAGAAGACATTTGAATTACTGGTCAATTAGCCAGTTCTGTGCTAAGACTTGCCACATTAAAAAGATGTGCATCAAGAATTATGGTAATCTCAGTCCAGCTAATTAAAATGGAATTCAATTTACTCTTTAAAGTTCAAATAGGCAGCTCTTCTTGTTATTTAGCTTCAGCTTCTGCACTCCTACTCACTGATTGCTCAAACAGCCTCTGTAGTCTTGGATGCATTCCTTCCTTTTATTTTTTAAGCTCATTTGCTCATTTTGAGTGATCAGTCATTTTCTGTATTTACCTAAGAATAGGTTAATGTCTGTAAAATGGACTTTTTTTTCCTATTAGACATTATCCTACGATTCACTTCTTCTTGCTGGCATAACATTAAATTCAACTGACTTCTAAATGAAAATGTTTTGGATCTATTAGAAATAAATGTCACTATGAATATAGGACCTTGTCTCATGCCACATTAAACTATTGGTTCATCTAGCTCAACACTGCCTGCACTGACTGGCAACAGCCCTACAAGGTTTCATTGCAGGAGGTTTTTCCAACCTTACCAGAGGTTGTGCTTGGAATCTTTTACATGTAAACATGTTTTTACCACTGGGCTATGGCCCAAGTTAAGCATTATGTGGGTCTTTGACTCACAGCATACAACTTTCTAGCAATTATTCATAGGCTTCAACTGAAGTGGACCAAATGCCTTTATCTGTTTAAAGGTGATGTCAGTATGCCATCTGTTCAAATATTGAGATTGTTGTAAGGTATTATCTGGACCCATTTCAGTAAGGCTTCAGACCCGGGTATGGCACTGAATCTGCCTTGGTCGCCCTGTACGATGACCTGTGCAGGGAGAGAGACAGGGGAAGTGCGTCCCTGTTAGTTCTCCTGGACCTCTCAGCGGCTTTCGATACCATCGACCATGGTATCCTTCTGAATAGGCTAGTGGGATTGGGAGTTGGAGGCACCGCGTGGCGGTGGTTCCACTCCTATCTCAACAGCTGATTTCAGAAGGTGGTGCTGGGGTACTATGGCTCTGTGCCATGGCAGTTATGCCATGGAGTTCCGCAGGGGTCCATTTTGTCCCCTTTGCTATTTAACATCTACATGAAACCACTGGGAGAGGTCATCAGGAGGTGTGGGCTGCGGAATCATCAGTATGCTGATGATACCCAGCTCTACCTCTCATTTGCCACCAATCCAGGTGAGGCAGTGGCTGTGCTGAACCAGTGCCTGGCTGAAGTAATGGGCTGGATGAGGGCCAATAAACTGAAGCTCAATCCAGACAAGACGGAGGTCCTGTTGGTGGGTGGCTCGGGCCTCGGGATGGGGGACTTGTCCTAAATGGGGTTACCCTCCCTCTGAGGGTTCGCAGCTTAGGAGTGCTCCTCGACCCTGAGCTGTCTCTAGAAGCTCAGGTGACGGCGGTGGCAAGGAACACCTTCCTTCAGCTTTGGCTGATACATCAGCTGCGTCCCTTCCTGGAGAACGACTGCCTGGGGACAGTGACACACGTGCTGGTAACTTCCCGATTAGATTTTTGTAACACACTCTACGTGGGGCTACCCTTGAAGATGGTCCAGATACTTCAATTGGTGCAGAATAGAGCTGCCAGTTTGCTAACGGGAACTGGGCGTTGTTCTCATATAACCCCAGTTCTCCGTCAGCTCCACTGGCTCCTGATTGAAGTCCGGGCCCAATTCAAGTTGTTGGTTATGACCTATAAAGCCCTAAATGGCTTGGGACCTGGATATCTAAAGGAACGCTTGCACCCATATATGCCCTCCCGCCCCTTGAGATCAGCAATGGATGCCCTTCTCCAGGAACCCTCTATGAATGATATTAGGAGAGTGAGTACCCGGAGGAGGGCTTTCTCTGCGGTGGTGCCCCACCTATGGAATGCTCTCCCCAGAGAGGTCTGCCTGGAGCCATCGTTATTTGTTTTTCGGCGCCAGGCTAAGACCTTTTTATTTAAAACTTATTTTAATTGCTAAATTATTGTATTTATTAGGATTTTAAATTAGCCGAGAATGCACCGGGGGTTTTAAAAAAAATTTCTATTAAATTGTAATATTGTTATTGTTTATGTATTTTTTGTGAGCCACCCCAAGGCTTTGATGCGATGGGGGCAGCATAGAAATGTTTTAAATAATAAATAAATAAATAAATAAATAAATAAATAAATAAAGGTACTCAGTCCATTGCATTCCAGGAGGTAAGTGTTAATCCTTACAGAGTTGTAATATTTTAACTCTCAAAGGGGCTCTTAAAATCCACTGATGCTAACAATTTCTACAAAGCAGGCAAATAATTTCAGAATGTGTACAGCAATGATTATTAAAGAATGCTCCAGCACAAAATTTATCTGTGTAAATAATATCTTCCCTTCAAAAGAAGCAACTCCTGGACACTAGCAAAAACCTATGTTTAAAGTTAGCCTTAGTGTATTACACCACCAGCAATTAACCAAATTAGACAGACATGGATTAACAAGATATTTAGTGTCCAATACACGCAAAACAAAATTTTCTGCTGCATATATACAACAGTTAGATTACCAATGTTTTGACATGTTGTGGTGATGTCCACAAGAATTTCTCAAATTCCAAAATATGCCACAGGTCCAGTAAGTACTGCCCTAATTAAAAAAGAAGTAGTCTACCACAGATTCGGTGTATCCACTCAATATCCTATATTCTTTCTTCCTCCTTGAACTCGACAGTCTTTTCAGTAATCCTTTTCAGGTAATACAGGTGGACAAACTAGTGAGTGCCTGGCAGATATTATGGATTACAATTCCCTCCAATTCCTGGCTATTGGATATACAGTCTGGGTGATACATGAGTTGTACTCTAAAACACCCAGAGGGCACCAGACTGCCTATCATGTTTTAGAGAATAGTTGCATTAGTAGGACAATTGCAAAACAATGTTTACCTCTCTTTTTCCAGTAAGGTCAGAAGTGCAAGCAAAGACCTCTGGCTGGCATTCCTTTGGATGAACTTAGTTTGGATGAGAGACCTTTGTAATATCATTGTAACATTTACAAACATACAGCAGAACATACTTTTTGAGGAGACTTCAAATGTAGACAGTATGACTGCTCAATTTCCCTTGACTCCCTAAGAGCACACTATTTCATCCAGCTGACTGCAGCTAAAAATGTTCACTTCTATTTATCTCTAAATTTCCAGTTAGTACGAACCATTTCTCTGCCCCACCCCTAAACTGAAGGGTTCCATCTTGTAAAAGCAAGGGAGAGATTTAGGGTCATCAAGGAACATTAATGTTCCTTTGTTAAGTCTCTGACCACCCATTTGTTACCTGGTAACAGGCCCAGTGACTGTAATAAAGAGAGTCAAAGGCATAACACTATATTTTGTTGTCTAATTTAGTTTTTGTTGTTGTTGTTATTTTTCCTGGGAGGTACTTGACAGAAATGGCAGCATTATTGTACTATTCAACCTTTCCTTTCTACAATGGGTATCTGATAAAAAGATAAAGAATGAACTGGCTTCTGGCATAAAAGGAAATAAAAGTGAACTTTTGCAGACTTTCAGCATTGATGCAAACAGCATAGAAATAACAGGTAAATGTTTAAATTTAAAACTTTGCAATAAAAAAGTTGTTTTGCTGTTTTCCATTAACAAATAAAGGTTTCCCCATGACATTAAAGTCCAGTCATGTCTGACTCTAGGGGCCAGTGTTAATTTCCATTTCCTAGCCGAGGGAGGCAGCATTTGTCCACAGACAGTTTCCATGGTCATGTGGGCAGCATGACTAAACATCGAGGTGCACGAAACGCTGTTATCTTCCCACTGAAGTGGTACCTTTTTATCTACTTGCATTTGCATGCTTTCAAACTACAACGTTGGCAGGAGCTGGGACTGAGCATTGGGAACTCACCTCGTTGTGCAGATTTGAACCGGTGACCTTTCGATCAACCAGCGCAGCAGCACAGTAGTTTAAACCACTGCGCCACCTGCATCCCTTAGCAAGGAGCTAATGCAAGTAGATAAATAGGTAACAGCGTTTCATGCACTTCGGTGTTTAGGCATGCCGGCCACATGACCACGGAGACTGTCTGTGGACAAACGCTGGCTCCCTTGGCTAGGAAACGGAGATGGGCACCACCCCCTAGAGTCAGGTATGACTGGACTTCATGTCAAGGGGAAACCTTTACCTTTACCTTTAATGCTCATTGACTAGTCATGCCAGCAAGTTTTTTCTGTAGTTTTCAGTAAAATTGGCTTGTCTTATCCTAAATTATTGACCTAAAACCGTAATAATGGTTTTGCTGAATTTGTTACATGAAGAAAGACAAAAAAACAAACAAACAAACTGGGACAGGAAAGATGAGAATGATTTCAGTGGGATAAAGATTGGACTGACACATTTAATTGTCTTTGCACCTTCATAAAAACCACCCCAAAATAGGGTTAGAAAACTGCTTTAATAGTATACCCTAAGGATTTTAGCAGTATACAAATAGCACAAATCAATCAATCATCAATCATATGTGTTGCTTTACACTTATTATCTGGTGATATACTTTCAGCCTTCAAGAGTCTACATTTGATCTTTCTTAGGAAATGAATCAGCTACATAATATGTGATATTGTATGTACTAGCTATGATTGAATAATTGATACTTTTGATTGAAAATTTAATCCTTAGTCTGAATCTATAGAATCTGAAAACACTTTGCATTTGAGATATTATATTTTGTATGGCTATTTCATACCTAGTATGTTTTATATTCAGTATTTGAAGTCCCAAATGGAATTGGTTGTTATGGAAACTAGAAATTGAAAATGCAGGTGTTTGCAGTACAGGCATGTTAACATTGTTGGGTATACTTTAGACTTAAATGGTCTTAAACTCTAAACATGACCTGGCTTTTGCAATATCTAAAAGACCAGGTTGTCTTACCAAAAGCCTCAGTCGCTTACTATCATTAAGTTAATGCATCCTCTGAAACTGCTGACTCAGTTTTGCAATTATTTGCTTAGAACTTGAAAATATCAGAGGATGACTGCTGAAAGGGTTGGATTCAGACTTAGTCATGCTTAGAATAGAGCCATTGAAACAATGGAACTTAAGCTGGTCAATATGTCCAGATCCAAACCATTGACAAATATATTCCAGAATCAGAAATTTTATTTTGTCCTATGCACATTTCATGCAGTTGAAAGAAAATGTTGCATTAGAATAAGAATTCCAAGCAAAGTGAAGAAAAATAGCATTTAAATTCTTCCATACATTCTTGGATAAGGGCTTGCACATGTTGCAACAGAGATAGAACTACAAAGAAGGAAGCATTGAAATTCTGCAGAAAAAAATATATGTAATCTTATATAATCCATGATGTGTTCATTTATCAGAATGAGTAGCCACAGAAGAAAATCAGGCATATTTTCCCACATGGCCCTATAAATCTTGGTAAAGAAATATTTATAAAATCAAAGGTTGTTATGTTCTTTCATAGTTCATGAAAATCCACGTGAGAGGGTACAGCAAATAAGCTTATGGCAGAGCAAAATCCTATACATGATTACGCAGAAGAGCACGTAACTGTGTTCAGTGGAGCTTACTTTCCAGCAAGTGTGATTGTCAAAGCCCTAGGCTGCAATTCTGTATACATTTAGTGTGACTAAGTGAATACAGTGACAAAGTCTAATACAGTGAAATATGATTTAGTTCTTAGTGGTCATGCATGGAACTGCGATACAATCTCTTTTGCAAAATTGACTGGATTTGTAAGATACAAAAACCCATTGTGCATGCCAAACAATTATGAGTTGCCCATCATGTGAACCTGGACCATTTTCCATAGGGTAGCTTGTTTAAGACAACAAGCTATCCTGACAACCCATAGCTGGATTGTTGAATCCATAATTGGTTGTTGTGACATCTGAACCCAAGTAAGTGATCTCACTGTGCTTTGTGGGAAGTGGTGAATAAGTTACTCAGAAGAGAAACAGAATCTCTTTACTGCTCTTTCTAAAATCACCTGGGTCACTCTCAGCGATAGCCACTCAACCAACAGCAAAATGCTGGAATAACCAAAGAATCATAGAATAGTAGAACTGGAAGGGGCCAGAGGGCCATTGAGTTCAACCCCCTTGTCAGTGCAGAATACCAAGTTAACCATCCCTCTAAGATGGCTGTTCAGTTGCATCATGAATGCCTTTAGTGTGGGCGAGCCCACAACATCCCTAGGTAATTGATTCCATTTTCTTACTGCCAGGTAGTTTTTCCTGATATCTAGCCAGAATCTTGTTTCCTGTAACTTGAGCCCATTATTCTGTGCCCTGCACTCTGGGATGATTGCGAAGAGATCCTGGCCTTTCCTTTTGTGACAACCTTTCAAGTATTTGTAGAATGCTACCATATGTCCCCTCAGTTTTCTCTTCTCAAGGCTAAAGATGCCCAATTCTTTCAATCTCCTTTCACAGGGCTTTGTTTCCAGCCCCTAGATCATCCTTGTTGCCCTCCTCTGAACCCTTTCCAGCTTGTCTGCATCTTTCTTAAACTGTGGTGCCCAGAACTGGATATACTACCCAAAAGAGGCCTGACCAGTGCTGTGTAGAGGGGAACTAGTATTTCATTGGAGATGGAAGTGATACTTCTATTTATGCAGCCTAAAATAGCGCTGCTCTTTTTTGTAGCCACATCACACTATTGACTCATATGCAGCTTGTGATCTACAACAATGCCAAGATCCTTCTCACTTGCAGCATTGTTCAGCCAAGTATTCCCCATCTTGTAACAATGCATTCAGTTTCTTTCTCCTAAGTGAGAACTTGGCATTCATCCTTATTGAATTTCATTTTGTTGTTTCAGCCCAGTGGTCCAACCTATTAAGGTCGCTTTGAATCTTGTTTCTATCTTCCAGGGTATTATCTATCCCACCCACTTTTGCATCATTTACAAATCTGAGCATTGTTCCCTGACTTCCTCAACAAAATCATGAATAAAGAAGGTTGACGAGCACTGGGCCCAGGACTGGGCCCAGATACCCACTTGCTATCTCTCCCCAGTTTGAGAAGGTGCCATTGATAAGCCACTCTTCGAGACTGATCCTGTAACCACCTGTGGATCCATGTGATAGTTGTTCCATCTAGCCCACTTTTTGCTAGTTTGCTAATCAGGAAATAATGGGGCACTTTTTCAAGAGCTTTGTTGAAGTCAAGAAAGACTATGTCCACAGCATTCCCACAGTCCATCAGGGAGATTACCCAACTGAAAATGAAATTGAATTAGTCGGGCAAGATTTGTCCTTGAGAAATTCATGCTGGATTCTAGTAATCTATGCATTGTTTTCAAGATGTTTGCAAATGAACTGCTTTATAATCTGTTCCAGAATTTTCCCAGGGATTGATGATCAACTAACTGGTCTTCAGTTCCCAGATTCTTTTCTTTTTTTTCACCCTTTCATGAAAATATGGACAACATTAGTTTTTCTCCAGTCATCTGACACTTCTGTTCTCCAAGATTTCTCAAAGATAATAGACAGTGCCATTGATAGTTCTTCCATCAGATCCTTTATGATGCTAGAATGGATTTCATCAGGTTCTGGGGATCTGTATACATTATACAAAATCAAATGATCTTTGACCATTTGGCTATAAATCTTGAGCTTCCATCCTGCTCTTTCAGTGTATACTACCCCTTCATCAGGAAGACCACAGATCTTCTTTTGGGAAAAAGCTAAGTCAAAGTAGGAATTGAGCACTTCTGCCTTTTCTAATAGTTGAATCCTAATTTCTTTCCTCTATCTTTTACTATGGACATATTTGAATAAGGCTTTTTGTTGCTTTTAGCATCCTTCACTAACCTCAATTCATTCCTAGGTTTAGCCTTCCTGATGCCTTCCCTGTAATTCTGTGGTACCTGCCTGTATGCTTTCTTTGTTACCTGGCCTTCTTTCCAGTTTTGGTTTTCGTATTAATCATAACTGGCTCTTTTTACTCACTGTGGTGTTTCTTCCCTGTTTTCCTCCTCTGCCTGGATCCTGTGTGTGTTTGAGAGAGAGAGAGAGAGATCTCCAAATTGTCAGCTAGTGGCAGCCACCTCCAGGTGCCAAAGCAGCACATCGGAGAGGGTGTCACCCCACCCCACCCCTTTTAAGTGAAAAACAATTGCCCTCTTTTTTCATTTTTAAAAGATACTTAGCTGGATTTGTGCAAGCAGGGAGCTGTATGCTTGTGGAGTCTGAAATGGGAGGATCCATGTGGGTAATATCCTGGATGTGCAATGCTGTCAAAGTGCAGCAGGTGTCAGTCATGAACATTGACCCATAAATATTTCCTGGGTTTTTCTATAGGACATATGCATAGCATATGCATATTTCTGCCAATCCACCTTAATTATCCCTGTCAAAAACTTGAAAAGAAAGCCTGAGATTTGACAGCTGACAAAGTTCCTGTAAATTAGGTCACTTGTACTTTCCTAGTGCCTAGAAACTTGGGAAATGGTAGAAAAAATGATAGAGTCCTGAAAAATCTCAGGTACAGCAACAACAGCAGAGGCTCTCACTGCAAACCTGATTATCTACTGGTCATGCTGAAAGATTACTTGCAGCTTTGTTTTCTCCCGACATCTCACATTTTAACAGCTGTGAAGAGAGTGAGAAGTTCAAAACGGATTTATTTGCAGCCTCTCTGTGTCAGCTTCCAAGGCTGATTCCTCCTGTGCTTTAATAAGCAGACACTTCGCAGGACATTGCCCACAAGAAACTTCCCAGTTGGACCTCCTTATGGACCTCCATGAGCACACATCTCTGAACTTGTGCAAGTCCAAGTAAACGATTAACCAAAAATAAATAAATTAATAAATCGTGCAAATGTCTTGCTCTTAAAAAAATCCAAGAGTATGGAATGGGCTTCCACAGGAGGTGGTTGAAGCTCCATCAGTGAAAATGTTCAAGGATAGGCTGGATATGCATGTGGTAGGCATATCACGAGCAGAGCCAGCTGGACCCAGGGGTCAGACTAGATGGCCCAGGATACCTCTTCTGACTTGCTATTTTTCTATGTTTCTAAGTTAGGAGGGCAGCTAATTTGAGTTATCTGCTCTTGCCAAGAAATAGATTCCAAACTCATTCTCTCGCCCTGATTTTCAACCAAATGGAATTAGCTTCATCCTCAGGGAGGTCCCACCTTCTTATGGGCCAGATGGTAGGAATATGAGACACTACTCAATTGACCTGCTATCTTGAGCTGGTTTTGGAAAATGGGACTGATTATGTTACATCCCTCCTTCTCTGGTCATTCTTGTTCAACCATCTTTCCAAGAATCAGAGGTGGTCTGGTTCATACCAGTCACTGAGATTGGTTTTGGAACTTGCTAGCCTTGGCAATTCAGCTAAGAGTTTCAATCCTGCTTCTTCTTCCAGTTCTTATTCAGGGCTTCTCTACATGAGGCATTTATTATGATCTTGATCTCTCACTAATGGAATTTTGCAAGACCTTTTCATGAAGTAGTTATCTTTCAAGGCCTCTCCCAAATTTTCTAGCCTTTTCATGGGTGTGTGTTTTTTTTTTTTTTTTTTTTTTTTTTTTGGAAAATCTGGAAAATTAAAACCTGGTGTGAATTTTAAGCTATGATAAACTTTAACAACATGCTCATGAACAAACAAAAATCTATGATGCTACAGATATACCAAAGTGTCACCTTGGGGTGGCTTAATAGATTCTATAGAAAAGTAGAGAAATACAAGAAATAAAGAACTCCATCTTAAGGATACATTTTTCTTTCACAAGGATACAAAGGAACCCAACATGCAGCAGGTAAAACTCCTTCATGTGCCGAAGCCCTCAGAGTCTGAGGTAACCATCTTGCAATGGTGTATTTTAGAACAGGACCCTTCCTTATAATCGCCCCCCCCCCCCCCCCAAAAAAGCAGGAAGGGACTACAAGGTGCTTTAAGCTGCCAAGTGCAGTAGGATACTGGCTGGAGGACCAAGTAGGAAGGTGTGAGAGGAGAACCCATGGGATGCCTCCTTGTCTGTGAATTATTCTCAGGTTTAGTTAGTGCAGTGCATGTGATACACTGTTTGACCACAGGACTACTAATGTACAAACTTTAGCAACTAATAGTGAGGAAATCTGGACAAAATAATTATTGATCTTTGCTAGCCAAGGAAATAAATTCATATACTTTTTTTCAAATTGCTGCCTAAAACTTATAAGCCTAAAACTTATGAATGGAAATAAAATACGTATGAGAAATAATGTTTGTATTTTTGCTTTGCAGATATGGAAGCATTTAGTACTAGCAGTCCTTCAACAACACCTGGTTAGTAAATAAAAATGTATCCAGTAGTTATATTGGAAATCTGGACAAAATATTGATGGTTTCCAAGAGCCAAAGCTATTATAAGTTTTCATATTATTGCATAAATATTTCAGGGTGAATCAAGGGAATGTTCATGCCTTTAATAATGTTCAGTCTTCTGGTTTTTTATTTTATTTTGTTCTGCAGGTCTCGGAACTTTTAGTACAGGCAGTCATTTGACATCCAGTTATTTGACATCATCAGGTCTGTAATACACTGTATCATAATAAAATAGGATTTCTTTGGATCAATGATACTAGGTATATTTGCACTCCAAACAGACTTTGTTCATTATCTTTTCTATCTGCACTTTCACGATGAACCAGTAGACTAGAATCTGATGTGAACAATATTGTCTGTTCAACTATAGATCTATTTTGATAACCAGAGCCTGGATCACTTAGGGGATATTAGGGTCATTTATTCATAAAGGTACACTTCAGAAAGCTTGTTATGAAGGTATATTTGTATTGTTCTGTGTTGGAAAGAGAAATGGCAATAGAAGAAAAACATTTTAAGATAAAATCACATTCTTTCTCCAGCAGATGGCATTGTGGTTTAGTTTTCTGCAATGCAGAAAAAAAGAAGGAAATTAAATTTGTCCTTTGTAAGCATTGTTATAAATATCAATAAAAGTGCTTTTGTCAGTGAACTTTACAAAACCCTGAACTGAAGAGCATACGTTGAGTAACAGCACTGGCAAAGCTGTGCTCATGGAAAGGTATAAAGCCACATTTTCCTTTTACAGCAGAAGTGGGAAACCTGTACATCTTCAGTTGTTTTGGGCCACAGTTCCCATCAGCCCTAGCCAACATAGTCAATATCAAGGAATATTCCCAATGCATCTGAAGGGTCACAAATTCTCTGCCCTGTGTTAAAACAAGGAACTTTAACTAGAACTAACCTCAACATATGGTCCCTCCACATAACCTATCTCAACAAGTTGTGCTTTGTGCTGCAGTCCCTGAATTTTGTTCCACCACCCACAACTATATACTGATATATGCAACTGGAATGCGGAAACATTACAAAACACAATATTCCCATATCTCTACACACAAAGCTAGTGATTTGCATTGATCTATGTTTGTTTGTATCACACGCCCCAAGTCACGTGCTGCCACTCACTTCTCAGTTTGCAATGACACATCTAGTCAGGATACATAAGTTACATGCCCCAAAAAAAGAACAGAAAAAATGATGTCTAGTATCTTCTCAAAACTAAGATTTTGTGTGCAATTTATAGTACTATAGTAATTGAAGGTGCTGGTTATCACCTACAAAGCCCTTAACAGCTTGGGACCTGGTTACCTAAAGGAGTGCCTGCGTCCATACGTGCCCTCCCGCCCCTTGAGATCGGCGGCAGAGGCCCTTCTTCGGGAGCCCTCCGTGTAGGACATTAGGAGGGTGAGTACCCGGAGGAGGGCCTTCTCTGCAGTGGCGCCCAATCTATGGAATGCACTCCCCAGAGAGGTCCGCCTGGCACCGTCGTTATTTGCTTTTCGGTGCCAGGTCAAGACCTTTTTATTTAAACGTCATTTTAATTGTTGATTTTATTTATTGATTTTAAATCTGCTGCCAGGATGTTTCCAGTATTTTATGTATTTTGTATAGAAATATATTTATTTCTGTATTAGATGCCGCCCCAAGGCTTATGCAAATGGGGCAGCATACAAGTTGTCCAAATAAATAAATAAATAAATAGAATGGACATTTTTTATTGACACCACATCTCAGGATTCATTTCTGGTGCAGCTACATGGCTAAGTGCTTTGTATACAAAAAGTTCCAGGTTCAGTCGTGGAGATTTTCATGCAGGAGTAAGATAGAGTCCAAGCTGAACCCTTGGAAAGCCACTGGCAATGCCATTTATAGTCTCAGTTAAGGGGAGCAGTGATGAGGAGATGTCCCCACTGAGCAGGAAGATCAATTTAAATCTGTTTCTAGGAACAGTATCTTTCCCCCTGTACTCTATATCCTTCTAGAACAGGTGTAAGGAACCCCGTCCAGATCTTAAAGTTTCCCACTCCTTTAGAATAAGGAAACTTTCTCTAGAAAGAGGGAAAAAACAAAAATAGAAGAAGAAAGGAAGGTCTAGTTGTTAGACACAGATTTAAATTAAAGTCTGCTTCATTTCTAAATACCTGGACTGAAAATGCAAACAATAACTATGTTTTCTCTATAACTATGTTGTAGAGAAAAAATTGAAGATTTGTGACTTTTTTCATACATTAGAGACACTGTTTTGAAATTTAAAGAAGCCAAAAACAAGCAGATTTTTTTCATAATGCCATTTTCCTTTTACAAAATTATTTTAGTGAAATGTTTGCCTCCTGATGAACTATGTGCTGATGGTGTAAACTGCATAGGAAGCGAATACTTTTGTGATGGAGTATCAAACTGTCCAGATGGTTCTGATGAATACAAAAGAGTATGTGGTAAGAATCCAAGCTTCTACTATTAGCCTTTGAACCTCTGTGAATCTCTCAACGTCATGAACTATTAAAAAACAAACAAACAACAAACCCAACAACAGTATTTGTTTAACCTATCAGGAATGTCTGTGTGTGTGTGTGTGTGCGCGCGCGCGCGCAGATAGAGCAGGGAAAGAAAGAGATTTATCCATACATTTTTGCTTATGCAGACAATGATAAATGACTTACTATAGTAAAATTAGTCCTATGGAAAAATGTTCCAGTCTGCAAGGGAATTTATGCAATTCATCTCTATTACAATGTAGTGATGCTTTGAAATGTAAGAACCAGCTTTCACTGCTCGGAATTAATGCTGGAGATTTGCTCTGCGTGTGTATACTATGTCTGTTACCAATATGATCATCAAATGAGGTAGTTCCTCTGGGCTTTCACCAAAGCTCCATACTCTGGCTGGAAAAAGACACCTGGAGAATAACACCAGCTTTAGCTTCAGGACCTGTGAAGATTTAAGGCCAAAATATATGTTACAATGAAATGCATCATTTAGTTTCACATTTATTTATCTCCTTCAAATACTAGTGCCAGTGTTAGCTTCCCTTACTATGCAAATAACTAAATGGAAAGGCAGTTTTTTTTGCTGGAGCTGCAGTTTTAAAAGAACAAAAGCAAAACAAAACTCCACATATTTTTTGTTCTCAATCCTGAACTGGTTGCTTTTCCACAACCTGTATTTGAGCTAAAACTTAAGTAAAATGCAAATCCAGGATTCAGATTGAATGTAATGTGGATTTTGGAACTTAAAGTAGCTGTAGTAGCCAAGGAACAAAAGGATGCCAAACTTAAAGCCCTGTTCAGGTTTTGAAACTGTTATTTGCACTACTAGGGAAAGTCAGGATAACTGTATTAGCATCACCATTGTCACCTGCCTGATGAAGAGGCTGGTTTTCTGCAGGGGAAAGCTTCCTGTATCCATGGAAGTTCTCCCTGAAATGTAGACCTCCATCCTGCTCTCTTCTGGGAATTTTGAGCTACTGTTCACTGTTTATTATAAATCCTGGACATTTCCAGTTGAGTTCATTTGATCATCATGAGCCAGATTATCATGCCAACCAGGAATGCTTTGTTTGCCTAGAGTTAGTCAATGTGCAAACACTTTTCATTGTCTTGTTTTATATCTTTTTTTCATGTTACACTCATAGATCTGGCTTTGCATATCACAGAGATTATACATAGACCCTATCTGTGCACGAGGACCTATGGGTTGGTTCCTGTGTACCTGCCCATTTCCACTGCAATACATATGTTTATTGTTTATCGTTATAAACATCCATTGTTTATTGCAGTGGGACTAGGCAGGATCTGACACCCATATTCACTCCTGCTGTATCTTCAGCAACCCATGGTTAAAAAATGGTGGGTTGTCAGCAACATGCACACCAGGTCATAATGATACACATAACAAAGTTGTTTCAATTTCATTTACTTTTTCTCTAAAACATGCTCTCTGGAAGGCTTGGAAGTTGAAATGTCTTGTGTGATGACAGTCTAATACTTTAACAATTCCTAAATGCTTAGCATTGGAAATGAAGAGCTCTATTAGGCTTCTTAGTTCATTTAGCAGTTAGCAGGGGACAGCAACAAGAACAGAAGTAAACCATCTGCACTGCTAAAATGGATGCCAAATATTCTTGGTTTGTAATTTTTCAGTGATGTCCCATTCCCAAAAGGGTCATATCTTTTTCATAATAGTTCAACATGATCTGGTGTCTGAGGAGCTATGTCAAATTGAACAATAAGAGCTAGAGCAGTTTTATAAATATTCTTGCTGACAAAAGAACCTATTTGGTAGAACTGTGCCCTGTGCTATTCAATCCCCATTATTATTCCTTTAGCAAATTCAGCATATGCTAGAGGTATAAAGATATAGTACAGGAAGAGTGTGATTCTAACAGTTTCTTCCTGCTGCTATCAGAAGCCAGTGAAATCAATTAAATTCTCAGTTGAAATGCAGACAACAGGTGACATAGCTAACCTTTATTTCCTAGTTTTAATGATGAAATGTCTCTACCAGAGCCCCGTGGCAAAATTCAGCTTTAGAAAGTCTGAAGCATACCTGCACTAAAACATTGTCAATAGTAGTAAAATGAAAAGGTGTAGCGGTATGTAGAAAAACTGAATAAATTTATTAAGCTATTGCTTAATTTAAAAGAAGTTATGCTCATAGAACTATAGTGGGGTAGGGGTATCCTTCCATTTAAAAAAACACTAGCATGCGCGCGCGCACACACACACACACAGAGTGCTTTTTTTGTAAGAAAAAAGGTGCCAGAACTCATGAAATCATTTACCTTTCACATGTAGTCAATCACTGTACACACACCCACACACGTCAGTTGTGTAGCAAAACATAACGGTCGCCGCCCACAGTAAGCACTCAGCGTGTGACCACAGGACCAATCACAAGCCGAGCAGCGCCACAAGCCAAGCAGCAGCATCACAACCAGCACAGACGACGTACGCATGCATCGGATTCAACACACAAGCAGCCCGCGTGCACCATTTTAACGATTTTGCCACCAACCTGCTATGCTTGACAGGGCGATTCAAATCTACATGGACCAAACATCAAATTTTCAAAAGTTACTTTTAAAACTTGGAAAATCTGTTGAAAAAAGGTGCCAGAACTCCATTCTGGTGCATTCTATGACAAAAAAAGCACTGTGTGTGTGTGTGTGTGTGTGTAACTTTGTGTAACCTTTCAGCACAGTTAGGTTAGGTTAGATATAGGGGCTTGGTTGTGCTTAGCTTAGGCCCACTGAAATTAATGGGGTTTAAATTAGTTGTGTCAAATACAAGATGGATTGATTCCATAAAGGAAGGAAGGCCCTTCCATTTACAAGAACTGAGCAGGGTGGTCATGGATAGGACATTTTGGAGAGCTTTCATTCATAGGGTAACCATAAGTTGAAGACAACTTGAAGACACATATCAACAACAAAACTGGTTGTGACTGACTTCTTCCATTGATTTCAGTGAATACATTCCAAGCATGACCAAATCTGGATCATAAGCTTTTTAGAATGGATTGGCTGTGAAGAAATTAAGCACTTTCTCCATTATCCTAATGATAAGAATATTTTCTTAGAACATTTTAATGAATTGGTACGAAGAAACATGATCAACTAAGCTGTGGTCTCATTTGAATATTGTGTGTAAGCCTTTGTTGCTCCATATTCAGAATACAAGATTACTTCAAGATGAGATGTAGGGAATATTTGCCATAGGCATGTGATTCCTGTCTCTTGTATAAAGAGTACTCTCCATCTGAAGAGGTCTTTTAGGGATTGTTAATATATTCTTTCTAGCATAATGGTTTAAGGGAGTGATAAAGACCGTCGAGAAAGGAAATTCAAGGAAGAAGCCAGGAATTGCCATTCCTGTCTTGGAGTGTTGGTAGCAGTTACTGTCACCTACTAACCATCTTTTGCTACTCATGCTACTGAAAATCAATCTGAATGTCACACAGTAGAATAGGGACACCTGAAAACAAGACATTTTAGTCCTTAACAAAATTATAGAACTTGAACCTATATTCTGTCTGCTAACATAAACAATTTGTCTCAAAACTGGAAGGATGGGGAGCCATTCTTTTCATACCATGTTGCTTAGGTGGAATGATTTGAAAACACCATCTTGTTTCAGTTTGATCAGAGATTGCAACAATCTCTTTCTGACTTTCAATTAATTGAAAAGATAATGATTATTTATTTACAGCTACATCCTGTGATGGAAAATTTATTCTGACTGGCTCCTCCGGATCTTTCCATTCTATTAATTATCCAGAGCCCTATAATTCAAGCATTGTTTGCCGATGGATTATACAGTAAGTCACTTCACAATGTTCCATCTTAGAGTCTATTTGCTTTTGCAGATGAAATGCAAGTACTTTTTTCTATGCAAAAATCTATACTAAATATGCATGCTTTCCAAATCAGGCAGTGCCTCTTGAGGCTTGGAATAAAACAGAGTCAACATTTTAAATCCCTACCTCATAGGTGTCTCCAGCAAGCTATTTTCTGGAGCATTTTCTGTCTATCTAAGAAAACTTCTGGGGTGGAAGAGGATATATTTTAATCTATGTGGCAAGCTGGTGCACATAAATGGACTAATAGGACTTTCATTTAGCATCTTTTCAGTTCACAAATATTATAATTTACATTTGATTTGGCAGGACTGAATATTAAAATTTGTGGTGAGCAAAAAAGCTCCAGTTCATCAAATACTACAATGTACATTTAAGGGGGGTGTATGGTATTTCTGGAAGCATTCACCAAATTGCATGTTACCTGATATCTCCAGTCCACATGATGACAGAAATATACTGATCACCTACACATGTTGCTTCTTATGGGAAAAAAATCCTCCGAAGGAGAAGCATTATTTTAAATTTTAATCTAAAGCAGGTCCAAGATAATCTGTTAATTTGTTTTGACTTTTTTTTTTTTGCAAACTTCCCACTTTTATGAGCTCTGCTTATAAAACATATATTTTCATTTCCTCAGTCAATGTTGTGCTTCTTTCCTGAACAAAGATATAATAACATTATTCTTTTTAATAAATGCAGAAAATAACTGGACTGCAGTCAAATTACCTCATCATATTAAATTAACCAAATATCCCTTACTGAGTTACTTTTCCCCACATTTGTCCAGAGTTCTTTTATTGTCAGATACCATTTTCCATGCCTCTTCTATCTACACAAGTGGTAACAAAAGGATAAATAAAGAAGGATTATAAGAATGTAGTCCACTGAACCTTCCAAACTGACACTGACAAGCATATTGAAATGGTAGTGGTTTATCATTTTGATATATATTTGATCCCTTTAGGGGAATGCAACCAGAAAGGAAAATAAGTTATCAAATTCAAAGCAATGTGCAGTTTTAAAGTTCATGGTTACATTCTGAACATTCTAGATTTTTGTATTCGTAGAAAGATAAGGAAGACATATCAATGGAAATGAGGGATGTTTCTGATATGGTATGACTGTTCATGATATCATGTCTATGATATTCATGTATCACTTTCAGATGGTCAGATTTATGCCCACCTGGCACACGTGTTCAGTCCACTGTGCTCCATCATTTTCTAAATGAGTTTTCTCTGGAATAATGTCTTTCCAAAGCAAAGCAAAGCAAAATAAATATCTAGCCATTCCAAACTGAGGTATCTTAGTATTACTTAAGTATTGGTACAGTCATACAATCTGTTGCATCTAAAAGTTTGTACACACTGTATTTGTATGTGATGAAAATTCTCAAAGAGGCAGCTGTGTGAGTTCCATTCCTTATGAAGTGGCCATTCTGTTAACATGCAGAGTTTGGGTATTCCAGATGTTCATGATTACAGAAGAAAGAAGATATAAAATGAGAAATGCACGGCTCTTAAGTTCCAAGTGGACAATGTCATATGGAACAACAAAAATATTGTGGCACTGTAAATACTAACACATTCCTTCTTACATAAGCTTTTGGGGGCATAGTCTATTTCATCAAATGTATGAACTGTTAATTTCATCAGATCCATTTTTACACGCTGACAGCAGGGAGGGAGATGTAAGCTGTGTTGCGACAAGATATTGCAATGAAAAAAAGTGCCGGTCAACAAATGTTAAAGTTATTATCAATGGCTGTACTTTTTGCTTTTAACTTTTTCTGAGGAATATTATTTATTATTTCAACCATCATGGTATTATCAACCAAACATAAACTCTATAAAAAAGAATAAAAGTAAAACAGAAGTCTCTATCAACATTAAACTGCTGAATGTCCATTAGGGACCACACAAAATACAGCCAAAATAAAAATTAAAACTAAAATATTACATATTTAATTTAAAAATACAGTAAATACCACTCATATATTGAAAGTATTAAATCCTTCCAATGTATCATATTGGCCTCAACAAAACTTCCCCTTGGTTTTTGGGCAGTCACTACATCTTACATCTCTGTCAAGCATTCTGGCAACATAACAGTAGTGACACCCATGGTTGGTAGGTTCCACTCTTGCATAACCCATTCTTACTGGGTTCACATGGCATGACAACTCCTGGGCAGGATTTGCCTGTTCAAAATGGTAGCTGCATGAATCCTTCAGGGACTGTAGCTTTAATAGAGATGTTCTCACCAACTCTTCCAAGTTTTCAGTAACATCTAAAGACCTGTTTGTTCAGTCAAGTCTTTGATTGAATTTGTTTATTTCATTACAGCATTATGTGAATTGTTGAACTCTGTATTCCTGTTTTGCCATATGTGATTGTTTCTGTCTGTCTGTCTATTGGGTGTTTTTTTTTTTTGATTGGTTTATTTTTATGATTTTATTGTTTTTTGTTGGTTGTACCTGCATTAGGCTTTTATACTGAAATCCAAGTAATAATTTTTATAAATAGAAAAATACCTGCTCTTTATACCTTTCTATGGATCATGTCAATTTCAATACAGTGGAATAGTTATTACATGTTTTAACATTTTGTCCTATTTTTGTTTGTTTTAGTGTAAATCAAGACCAGTCTATTAAACTCAACTTTAGTGCTTTTCATACCCAGAATTATGTGGACACGCTAAGCATTTATGAGGGTGTTGGCCCAACAAAGATTCTAAGAGGCAAGAGTCTCTCTCTCTCTCTCTCTCCCTCTCTCTCTGTTTGTGTGTGTGTGTGTGTGTGTGTGTGTGATTGTAACAACAACCAGCCATTCCATTTTTCATCATAAACTGTTGCATACTGCCATGTGGTAAGCACAATGCTCTCGCAGAGTTTTGCACATGTTGCTGGGAGCTCCTACATGAACAGACTTGCATAGCACCTCATGTCCATTCCTTTCAACATTTTCCATTTTTTTATTTCACTGTGTGACAATTACACATGTGCTATTCAATTGCATGGGCTTTTATTTGATCACACTTTTATTATTTATTCCCCTTCCATCTTTCAATTGTTCTGTGAGTTATAAGGAAAGAAACAGCTTGCCTCTTCTCTGGGGTGGAAAACAGATAACCAGGTATACCAGTGGAAATAATAATGCTCGGCTCTTCATGGGACAGTTATCTCAGAAAGGATTAGTTTGCTCCCTGAGAAGCTAGAACAACACAGAGGGTGACTTTAAGCAGCAA